GATGAGGTGATCCGTGGACACTGTTGGATCACGTGAAGAACATATGCCATTGATTTTAAGATACGTTCGGCAAACATCTTTAAAATATGGAAAGGTGGCCCAGATAAGGAGAGTAGCAATGGATGCTATGGAATCAGGAGGGGATTTAGCGGCCCCACAGATCAGCACTCTACTGAACACTCACAGCCCCAGCCCCCAACATCGACTGTCAACCTGGGCCCTTGGGCCAGTGCTGCTTGCTCTCCCCAGTGTTGGGGTGGGGACGGCCTCACTGCATCTTCCCCAGAGGAAGGTGAAGTCTCTCCGCAGCACTGGGTGTGATCTGTCCAGCCCCTCTTCCTCTGACAGGTCTGAAATGTGTTCTCTCACTGATTCTCTTCCCTCTTGTGTCTTCTCCTGTCTGAACTAAGCCACCTCTTTTGCTGCACTTCACACGTGCCAGCCCCACACTGGGCTCAGGGGACGCCAGGCTGGAGCTAGGATGGACAGAAATGGGCAGAACTGTGCCTTCCTGGGGCATCACACCTGCTTCTCCTTCCCTCGTGTGGCCTGACTTTGGGTTCCCTCACCATCTGACCTTCTCAAAGGGCCCCAGGATGACCCCTGAGAGTACAGTCCTGGCCACACTCAAGCTCAGGGCAGACCCAGACAGGCAACTCCTCCTCTTGGGCACCAGGACTACAAAACTCTCACCTGGTGATGCCGGCCCCGCTTCACAAATAGCCAAACAAATCACAACATTGACTTACTCGATCCCAACCACGGCATTTTCCTCCCTCCCGTGTCATCCCAGCTAATATGGCTGTGAGCCCCAAATGCAGGACTCTACACTGACTTCTAGTAAACGCCATCCGTTAAGTTTAGCCCGTGATCCCAACTTTTTGAGATCTTTATTGGATTCCACTATGTTATCTAGTTTATAGACTATCCACCTAGGCTTCCCATCAGCCACGTGTTAGATAAGCATACTGTGCGTGTCCTCATCTAAGTAATTGATAACACCCTGGGCACCCTCCAGAGGTCACTCAGTGTTAACATCAGTCTATTAATCAGCTGTTTAATTCAACCAGTTATGGATTCTCCTAACTTCAACATTACCAGCCACATTTATCCATCTTGTCTACATGGATAACATGAGAAATTTTGTCACATGCTTTGCTGAAAGCCACATCTTTCCTCCTGCCTTAACCTAGCAGATTTGATGGGCAGATCCGTGGCTTGGTTCCTCTCACTGGCCCCTGGTGGTTGGGAGACCCCGTTTTGTGAGAAGGTGAGGGTCCTGTTCCTTGAGCTCCAGCTCCCGCTGGGGGCTTCACCCCCTGGATCCTGGCCAGTTGTCTTTTTTCCTGAGTTTGTTCAAGTCTGTCTTCTGTCTGATGGTGCCCATCTTTTTGTCATGAACTCTGACATAGAGCAGTGATTTGTCCCAGGGTTCCTGTCTCCATCACTGTGCCAGATAGCGCCTTCTTGCAGGAAGGACAAAAGTCCCCACAATGCCGTCGCCTCTGCCCCTGGCTCAGCTGGGCCGAATCGGCCGCCAGGTGCTGCAGGCCACCACCACCCCCCCCCCCACTGCTGTTCCTCTGACAGTGTCAGGAATGAGTCTCCCCTCCCTCCTTCCCAGGGGGCTGTTGCAGTATGTTCCCCTGAGAGTATCTCTTCTCAAGAGGCTTTTCTGTGAAGAAATTACCTTCTAGCCTATCCGAGGGCCAGAAGGTGTGTTCACGTGGGCGGCTGGACCATTGGCCCCACAACTCCTCAGGTTCCCCAGAAGGTCTAGAAGGTGGCATGGGGATGGGCCCCTGCAGGGAGCCTCCGCCACCCCGACTGGGAGGTGCTCTGGGCCCTCTACCCACCCCTGAGCACCGAGTGGCTGAGAGACGGCCCTGTCAGGATTGCAGGTGGGCGTGTGTTTGCACTTATATGTACACACATCATGTAGATGTGTATTATGTATCATAAGATCTACATCTCGTATACACATTAAAATGCTAGTGTTATTGTATTGTTTTACAAATTATTTTTTCACCTCCATTTTTATGTAAAGCCCTCCAAGTCAGGCCATCCAATCTGGACAAACTCATTCCCCGTCACCCTTGCCATAGCTGGCAGGCAGGAGCACGGCGCCATGGGAGGTCAGGCCACCAGGCCCAGACAGACGCAAGTCTTATGGGATGGCCGGTGTTTCTGAATTCTTCACTTTCAAAGACATGACCTTCAGCTGGGAGGAGAGAGACACTCCTCGTGAGAGGAGGAAAAAACTACTTAAAGGAGAAGGGGTTTTCCTTGAAGTGAGGGGGATGTTTTGGAACTAAATAGAGGTGGCAGTCACACGACATTGTGAATATTCTCAGTGCCACTGAATGGCTCACTTCGGTTAACTTTATCTTATGTGATTTCACCTCAGTGGATTACTGCTCTAAATTTCCCTCCCTGCTTAGACCTTCTCAGTGTCTAGAAAGTGATTCTCAGCCTTCTTCCATCCATGGCTCTCATCCCCAGCATCAGCAGGGGTGGGTGGTAGTCATCTATTACCCGAGTCATCAGGTTAGATACATGCCCCAGGCCAGAGCCCCATTGCAGGGGGCCACCCTCCCTCCCCACCCCAGCATAGGCAGAGGTCAGCCTCGTGTGGACCCTCTAGGAGGGGAGGCTCAGGAAGGGCTTCCAGCTGGAGAGGCCCTCAGCAGACCCCAGGAGGCCAGCAGAGTGTATACATGGAGGGCATGAGGGGGAGTGAAGGTGGCACAGGCAAGGGCCAAAGGGCCTGAAATGCACCCAGGACCCCATTTGGAAATCCTACCCTGCTCTAGCCTTTAGGACCGCCGGCTCTGACCAGAGTGGAACCCCCTTTCTCCCTTACTCTCTCCAGTCCCAGGACTCCCCAGCTCTCAGTTCCCAATGGTAATCAGGTCTCTACAGATCACCTTACCACCTTTTTAACACAAGCTCTTGAAACACAGGAGGTCTGAAACTCAACCTGAAAAAATTGCTCCATACCTCATTGCCAAATAACACTACAGATGGCTGGAAGTGACAAGCCATGTAGGTTCAGGAATCACAGGAGTGGTAAAGGATGCCGTGCCATCTAGGGCTTTGGGGTTGCGGCTTCCTACCTGCTCCAACTTCTCTGAAGCTCTGCTTCAGATCTATAAAATGTTCAAATGATACGAGCCCCTGACCTGACTCAGGAAGGGCTCAGAAGTCAGCCCTTGGGGTACGTCAGTGCCATATGGGGTAAGCGTTGGCTCATGGCTGGCATTGGGCAGACGGTGCTGGGAGCTGGTAGGAGCTGGTTACCTCAACCTGGGTATTAGGTGGGACTTGGTTCTGTCCCTCTCTAGAAGGCTTTGTGGCTTTTTGAGGGTCCTTTAATCACTGCTGAATTTTTTTCGGCTGTAAATGAGCACATACACTTAGGTGCCCAGATTTCACTGGTGTGTTTGAGCGTGTGATGGGCCTTTCCCCTGCCCTCACCTCTTCCGGACAGTTCAGGGAAGGTGCCGGGCACCTGTGATGCCAAGAGGCCTCTGACCAATGTCTCTGTCAGAGCCCAGCAGCCTGGCTTCAGGCAGGAGGGGAGGGAGGCTTCAGGGCAGTAGCTGGGGCCGGCTAAGCTATGTCTGTTTCTTCACACTAGCCAGAGAAGGTCTCATTGAAAGGTCTCAGTGTGAATGAACACAGTTGAAAATGAGCCATTTGACTCCTCCTGCCAGTCAGAGAAGAGTCGTCCTGACTGTGTTTCTTTCTCTACTTCCTTCCTCCTGCTGCCCTTCTTTTGCTTCTGCTGCTCTTTATTGGGACTGAAAAAAACCTGCCCACCACGCAGATACCAGAGAAGTCTCAATTTCAGGGCATCTTGGAGAAACACAGAATATAGTTTCCTGGGGAACCCATTCACCAGGGCTCCCATTCTGCTCACTCCATTTCTCTGAAAACCACAATTTACCACAAAACCACAGCCCTTGGGTGAGGCCCCAGCCCTTACCGCTGGGCCCACTCACTCCTGACTCTGCTCAGACGTCAGGAGAAGTCTCTGCCCGGGTCCCGGCCACCCCTGCGAGGCATCGAGTGTTCACACTGTGTGTGCCACACTGTGTCTTGTGCAGTATGACCTGGTCCTCCCGTGTGCCCAGGCTTCCAGTAGGGCATGGAGCCAGAGTCCTCTCTGACGCTGTGGGTCACAGACACGGAGAACACTGCCCACAGAGGCACGCTCCAGCGTGGGGTTTTCTCCACATGCCTTAGTAGTGAAGACCTGGGACAGGGTGCAGGAAAAAAAACTCCCCTTTGGAGCCCTGTTTTCATTCCTTGTGTCCCTGTCCCACACCCTTGCTTTCTTATCCTGTTAAAATCACTGGCGCACCCGAGTCAGCCCTTGAGGTCCCAAGACTAAGCAGCTGAGAGTCAGCAAAGGTGAACATCACCCCCACTTGCAGAGCACCCATCTGTGTCTGTACCAAACCGGGGCCCCACACATGACACTTCTCACTCCAGGCACAAGCACCCCTTTCCGTAGGCAGTGCCATCCTCCTTTTAAAAGCAACTTCAGTCCTTCATCTGAAATCAGGGCTGTGATCCAAACTCAGTTAGACTCCAGAGCTACTCTCTCCCATAGGCCCGCCAGCAGCTAGTGAACGTCTTGTGATGGTGCCTTCTGCTGGCCTCCTTGTGGAGCCTCTGTCCCCCTTTGCCTGCTATCAGCCCCTGGTTAAGACCCACCACTTGCAAGTTGGAGGCTAGACTTGGGGCACTGGGGGGCCTAGGCCCGGCCTGCTCTGCTCCCGGAGCTCTTATCTGGCTGATGTTGGGGGATGGTGAGGCACCTGCTTCCTCACCAGGAGTGGGGGTGACGCCTGTCTCACCCCAGGGCTCCCATCCACCTGTGCTGGGTGTCAGCTGCTCCCTGCCAGAGACTTGTCCGTCCTCTGTGTTGACGTCTTCGGTCACTGGACATGGACAGTGTCTTCAATGCCATTTTCTTCTTTTCTCTTTTGCAGCAATGGATGGTGTGCCTTTTATGATTTCAGAGAAGTTTTCTTGTGTTCCAGAAAGTGTAAGTCTTATGCATGATTGCCCTTCCTCTGCCGCCCCTAGCCTGAAGTCCCTCTCTCCTGATTTCCACAGCGTGGGACTGCCCTGGTGGCCCTTACATTCCCAGCCCCCACTGGACTCACATCTACCTGTGTGGCCTCTCTCCCTCTGGAACTGACCCCTGTAGCCCAATGACAGTGACTTCCTGAGGGCTGGGGAGGGTCTGCTCATCCCTGGCCCCTTCAGCCAGTACCTTGTGCCTGAACAGTGAAGAGAAAGAATGTCTGAGGGATAGGAGGAGAGCGATACGGGCTGGCAGGCAGCTTACGTGCAGCCAGGCTTTTCCTGGTCACACGCAATGGTAGATAAACTGAACTTGGCCTTTGTGACAGGTCTTTGTTTTTTAAATCCAACTTAGTAAGTTTGGTCCTTCCTTATTTAGTGGTGACAAGTTCCCCTCACAAGGGAGTCTGCCTGGCTAAGCGCTGTGTCCTGTGCTGACTGTGTCCTGCTCTGACTCGGAGGCCTCTGTGTGTGTGCAGAGCTCCTCTAGCTGTGGGCTTCTGCCCACACCAGGCCACCGCTGACTCTACAGTACCTGTGAGTACACTCACACAGGCTGGGCCCCGAGCCATCATTAGTGACAGAGGGACAATGAGCTGGCCAGGCCTGAAGGCTGGACCCCAGACCATGCAACGTGCCACCTTTCACAGCACTGTGGGGCTCTGTGCTGGGCTGGCAGCCTGGCCTAGCACTCCTGAGGTCCTCACTGAGGTGGCACCTGCCCCCAGTATGACAGTGGCCCTCTCTCAGTAGTGCCGGCCCACTCCATGCCAGCTCAGGAATCTTGTTCCTGGTTTCTATCCTTTCTGCAAAAGTTTACTTTGAGTAGCTAATAAATGTGAAGGCCCCAGTTTGGGCACCAGCTAAAGAATCCTTCAGTGTTTTTCTTGGATCCAGCTGAAAACCACCCGGCTTACGATTTGACCTGCTCTGTAGTTTCCATTTTCATGAAATATAATAGGCCTCCTCTGAACCCTTCTGGTAAGCAGCTTAATCTTGAAAAATGCTCATGACGTGACACGCAGAGCTTGAGTAACTTCAGCCGACTCCACTCAGCCATGTTGCCATGGAGATGCTGGCACCTCTCCCGCCGGTCCCTGGGAGAGGCTACTCTGTCCTGCTCACCAGCTCCAAATTGGGAAAGTTTAGTGGGGTAGTTAGAGCCTAATGATACAACAGCTGGACCTCTGCTGGGTCCCGGGCAACGCAGGCAGGCAGCCCCGCTCTCACACCACTCAGGCTGGCAGCACAAAGAACTGACTTGTTCAGCAGCTACTGGCAGAGCAGCCGGGGTAGTGTCTGGTTCAGTGGCTCTGTCCCAAGATCACCCTAGTGAAGATGCTGCTGCCCGGTGCTGCCGACTCAGCAAGTGCTCAAGGCCTGGGACTTGGGCCAGGCCCATTGCCCAGCACATCCTGCTCACCTCATTGAGTGTGTGGCTGAGCCGGGAGGGCTGGCCCACAAGGCTCTATAAGAGGCAGATGATGCGGGGATTTAACCTGCCGCCACATCTCATGGAAGCGTGAGCCTCGTTTGAATCCAGTCCTCGGACTACAGCGCCAGTCTCGCCGGAAATCCCTGCCATCTCAGCAGAGGCTCTAGGCCCACTCCCGCCCCTGGGCTGCTACACTTCAAGACCCCTCAAACACTCAGGCTTCACCTGCTCATCCCAGGCCACCAGGAAGCCAGCCACAGGCCACTCTCAGGAGCACAGAACATTAGCTAACGTGCCCCCAAGGGACTCAGACAGGGGGCCTAACAGACCGGGCTCCCTCTGGGCATTTCAGCCCAGGCTTCGTGGGCCTCCCACTAATTTGATTTTTTTATGCTGTCTGTTGAAAAGCCAGTATTTTCAAAGGAAGGTCCCCAAGCATCACGGCATTTTAGAAATGCTCATTATAATGCAATGTTACCATTTTTTTACCACACTGATTTCTCAAATGGTAATTGTTGGGCAGTTGTTTCATTCACCTGGTTATTTCCAAAGTTCTGGAATTGCCCCCAGCTCCTGTCCTGGGTGAGAGACTCCTGCAGTTCCTCAGACCCACTGCCAGGGTACAGATGGAACAGTCAGGGTGGCCTCTGGTGAGAACCTTGGGCGCTCCCACCCCACAGCTGCAGCAGGAGAGAGCACAGCTGAGTCTGCTCTGGCAGAGGGAGAAGAGAGGCCAAGCCGGCCAGCTGCACGCTCAGTCCTCCAGGAGCCCCAAGAGGCTCCTGGGTGCTGCAGCCATATGACCCAGCAGTGGTCCCCAGCATAGGGAGCTGGCCCCACAGCCACAGCCCTGCAGTGTGCTCTCGTCACTCCTCCCTATCCCACTAACAACCAGAGCTACACAGACGGGCTTCCTGCGGGAAGGGGTTGGAGAAACTCGAGATCCCACAGGACAGTTTAAGATTTCACAATGGTCATGCATAAAAGTAAACGTGAAGGAGCTTTTCCAGCCATTCGGGAGGGTGACTTGATCTGTATTTTCAGATGCAGCCCTTTGATCTCTTGGGGATCACCATCAAATCTCTAGCAGAAATTGAGAAAGAGGTAAGGAGGCTGCCCAGAGCAGGGAGGGTGGGGAAGGAAGGGCAGATGTGGGTGCCCATCTGAGTAAAAACACTTCCATGTCAATCAAATTTACCTCATAGAAAACATGACTCACTTCTCATATATTTATAACGTTTGGTCAAATACGACCAACATCTTGTCTTCTCCGTGTCAAGAGGTTTCAGTGACAGAGCCACCAATTCTGCTTCATTTTAAAACATGTCTCAGCTTAGAGGAAGTGGAAATTGGGGGACGGACACAGGGCTGACTTTCTTCCCCCTTTTGTTTTGTTATTTGCTCCCAGGAGGCCCCTTGTGATGTAGAGGAGGGGTCAGCGCACCATTCACTAGGCTCCATGAGCACGGCCCCACTGGCAGCCTGGTCTCAGATAGTCTATAAAAAAGCAGGCAGGATTGGAGTACAGCGGACTCCGAGCAGAGAGCTGGGGATAATGGAGCCTCCCTGGAGGCCAGACCTGCAGTGTCCCCTGTTTTGTGAGCAGGGAAGTGGGGGCTCGTCTTTTATGTACAGCAGGTTGTTAAGCAGTCGCTTGCCGCAGCCAGCTCTCCTCTGAGAGGAACATTTGTCTCAAAGATGGAAATGGTAGAACCATTTCAATATTCTCCATTCCTTTGGGTTTTCTCTTGTGTACCCAGCTAGCAGAAGCAGGTTGCATTATTGAAAGATGGCGGAAATCAGGGAAAATTGAATCAATGTAGTACAACAAATTTCTAAACCTGTCATAACAAAAACAAGACAAAAAAGTCCCCCTTTGTCTTTGATTTTCAGTAAATCATAAAAACTAAACCTGATTGTCACCTACAGTTTTTTTTGTTTTTTGATAACTTAGGGGAAAGATGGCTGACTGGTGCGTTAGAAATACAGGTGCACAGAGAATTTCATGTCTGCCTTTCTCCAAATCAAGGGGCGACTCTGAGGGCCCCTACATATGAACACTGCCTGTCTGCCTGGTGTGGTGCAGCTGGCTTGCAGGTGGTGAGCAGGGCTGAGGTCCTGGGAGGGACATCTGGACCAGCCAGGCTCCACCACTGCCTGGGGGCCAGTCACACCCTCTCTTTCAACTGAGGATAACAATAGAACCTGTCTCTTAGGGGAGTTTTGTGGGTGCTAAATGAGTATATGTGGAAATAGCTGGCAGGCAACAAGTGCCCCATCCCTGTGGGCAGGTGTGCAGCCACCCAAGCATCCAGCTCTCTAGTCCTGTCTTCCTCTGGCCTTCTGACCTATGGCCCTAACATAGCACGGTCTGCTTAATCACCTGCTGAGTGCTCACTCAGGGTTTTCAGGCTTTTCCTGCATTATTTCCATTTCCCATACTGTGCTGACCAATGGGGAGAAACTGAGACTCCTAGAGGCAAAGTAACTGGCCCACGACAAGATGGGAGGCCCCGGGACAGAGTGGAGCAGGTGAGGGTCCCAGCGAGGACCCAGAGCATGCCGTAGGAATCCTGTACACCACAAGTGTCCAACCTTGTTTTTCCTCCGCCACCCTTTGGAACAAAAGGAGTTGTCTTGGGCCACATAGGAAATACACAAACACTGACGAAACCTGAAGAGCAAACAAAAGTCTGTGCATACTCTTCATGATCTCCAACACCACAGATAAGCAAAAAAAGTCCTCACAAAATCAGTGTGTGGCACGCAGGCTGCAGGTTGGACACTCCTGCCATAATCATAATCCTCTACCCTACGCTAAGGACTAAAATCAGGCCCAAACACATGTTACTTCAGAATGTACCGTCTTGATGTCAGGTGCTCAGAGCCAAGGTGTGGCTGCAGAGGGAGTCGCAGAGCCAGGAGGATCTGGGAGCCAGGAGAGTGGGGGCACGTGCTCTGGAGTCAGCCACCCAGGTCTGGCACTCAGCTCTTCCACGTAACCACTCTGAGCCTGTTTCTTTTTCTGCAAAATCAGAACAGTGATAGAAATATGTACCCCATAGTATGTATTGTTTTAACTGAGATGGCCCCATAGGTGGACTGAAGCAGCACCTGCCTCCCTGACCCCTGCTGTTGTCACAGCCTCGATCATTATTCCTGTTCTTATCCACATGGGGTGGGCACCAGAGTAGACCCACCCCGGCGAGGCATGTCACGCCGCTCTGTTGCTGGGGGCCCAACTGACCAAGGCCAGCTGTATTTCTCATTTTCAGGTCTGTATTCACTGTTGAAGTAAATTCAAGTTGACATAAAGAAAATGTGGGGAAATGGGGAGAGGTTAGGAACATTAAACAGGGCACAAAGGGTCCACCGCAGTCCGAGGAGTTTCCATTTAACCTGAGTTACCCACCCCAGCCATGCACTGCATTTAACGGTGATCAGTATGTTGATGGCCACACACTCTGGTGAGCTGGCTCCTTCTTCTGCAGCAGTGTCAAGGACTTTCTCCATGAATAAACCTGAAATTGCTATTTTTAGCTACTGCACTTGGCCTTTCTCATGAGAGCTGAGGTCTGAGGAAAAGTGGTGTCCACAGCCTACTAGCCTCCGCTCTCGGGCTCTGTGTGTTTGACCCCAGAGCAGCTGGGTGTCCCCTAGGTCGGGATGCCGCTGCTTTTGCTCCATTTCTGAGGGATCTGGTGAGAGCAAGAGAGATCTCAGCTCGGAAATTTGCTTTGCCCACTAAAAACCTTTGTATTTTACACCATAAACAAAACCAGTAATAATGATAGAATAAGTAAAGGTGGGGACTGCCTCTGGGTTTTGGGGGCACAGACCCATGAGCACACATCTCCACTGGCCCGTAACACCTCCCTGATCTGACCGGGTTCCCACACAGGGCGAGTGAGCCCAGCATCCTGCCATGGAGATTCTCTCCTTTATTCCTCTATGCCCTGTGGAGGAAGTGGCATCCACCTGTTTTATGGGAGAAGCCTGGACTCTAGATGTTCAGTGACCTGCCATAGGGCTATGGAGGCATCACTCAGTTGTTGAGCCCTTCCCAGCCTGCCCAAACCTTGCCCCACTCCCGTGGGGCTGGGCAGCAGCCAGTTTGACACTGCACAAGGGCAGTTAGCGACCTCATAGGGCTTTTGTCCCCAAAAAGCCCTTATCATTCTCCCTGCTGCCCAGACAAAAGGCTCTATGTGTTTGGGAGCCTGGAAAAGTGTAATTTCACAGCCAAGCCCTGTGATGAAGCATCTTCCCTCAGAGTGAGAAGATGGGCATATAAATATTCTCTGTCTCTGCCGCTCTTTATTTCCCTTGTAAGCAGTTGCCCCATTTCTCCAGCTGATGGATTCCCATTGCAGCCAGGGTGGGAGCTCCCTAGCTCTGCAGCCCAGGCGTCAGCTTCTAAAATAATCCTGTGGCTTGGTTGCCTGTTTACCCTCCCCCTACCCACCGCCCCATCCTGCGGTTGTCCCAGCCTCTGTCGCTGACCTGCCACCCCTTGCCTCAGATCTCATGGCTTTTAGAGGAGGAAAGGGCTCTGGCAGGTGAGCGCCTTCCACTCCATACAGAGCCATTGCCCCGACAGCTGCCAGCCTCCCAGTAACCTCACCACTCACCTGCCCTTCAGCAGGTGCCCATCAGCAACATGGCAGAGGAAGCGCTCATTAGCTTACCAGGCTCCTAGTGGAGCAAACAGCCTCCATTTTCATTCGACTTTAAAGCTGAAAAGACGAGGGAGAGTCTAATTAGTAAAGGGACGATCTAATATTAATCACTCCCTTAAAATTGACAAGGGAGGCAGTTCATTTAACCACTTAATTGCTACAGGTTTTTATGGGCTGCTGTTTGCAGACATATTTAATGAAGAAGTTATAAATCTAAGGGAGCTTAAAATTTTAATTTTATACCTAAATATTTTCCTTGTTCTCATGTTTGTAGTCAATCCTCAAGAGTGTAGTCACGTGGAATGTTCTTTAAATGAACATATTTGCTAACTGGCGTGATTTCAGTTTTTAAAACATTGGTTCCAGCAATTAGGCATTTTTTTTCAGTTCCCAAATGACTAGAGAAATTCGTCTTGATTATAATTGCTCTTAGCCACGCATATCTAATTTGTGTCTTTTTAAGTGTTAATTAGTAAACAGTTTGAGCTGACATCTTTATGTGTTTGTGTGTTGAAAAATGGGGCTTATTGCTTATTTAGCTTGGGGCCGATTCCACCAGCATTTACGTCATGATGCTGAGGTGAATTAATGAAAATACATTTGGCAGCATGAGGTAGGAAGAATTTTTGAATTCAACTTTTGGGTGTCTGCTGTGCGTGGGCTTCTGCAGACTCCTTCATATAGGAGGTTAGAGCAGATGGGGACCTACCTCCAGCAGGAAGAGAGTGAGGCAGAAGACTTTCATATTAGTAATGAAATGGCAGAATCCCAATTTTATAAGAGCAAAATGTTCATATTCCAGCACAATTGTTCATTCTTTCTACTTTTGGAAAGCTTTCATTGTGCTTATTAATGTTAGCGAATTTTGTGCAAGGAAATGGTGCAGCCGGAGAATGTGTGGTCCCTTTCCACCATCTAGTGGTAGCATCATAAACTGCAGCAAGAAATAGGGTGCCTTTTCTCTACCTTTGAGATTATTTTCACCAGCCAGAAAGAAATCTGCTTACTTCATCTATTAAATAAAAATTAGGTAAATGATAGAAGTTAACCTATTCTGCTTTTCCTTTTACATATTGTTTAAAGACACAGAGCTGCCATTCAAATTCCTACGGAGCTTTGTTTCAGAGATGAGACAATTCCAGCCAAAAACAAAGAAACCTAACAAATGAATTAAATAGATGGCCTTTCTGAAGGCACAAAAGAAATCTTAGTCTTCTTCTGAAATATGAGATGGAGCTTGGGACCACAGCTTTGTAGACTCCCTAAAAGTCTGACTGCAGCTTAGGAACCTCTGTGTCAGACCACAGACAAGATCAGTCCTCTTCCCATAAATTGTGGAAGACCTTTTGGGCAGTTTATCATGTTAAGCAGCTACCCTGCCAATTGGAATTCGATTTTTTTTGTATTTATTGTTTTCTCCTGAGC